CTGTTTTTCGATATTCGCGCTATTTTTTTTCGACATTTTAAAGATGCCATTCGATAGAGCATCCAAAAATATACTAAGAGTTTTAATTTTAGCTCAAAACAATGTAATATAAAATAGTTATAACAAAAACAAGTATTAAACGTTGTTTTCATGGAGGTAGAAGGAAATCAAATTTTCGACATTTTCGACATTTTTACAAAATTTCTTTAGTGCCATTCGACAGAGCGTCAAAAAATATACTAAGAGTTTTGTTTGTTGCAAAAAGAAACGCAAAAAAATAGTTAGCTCGGCCCCAACAGTCCGTCCCCCCCCCGCGTAAAATTTCCCCCGCGTAGCCGACATATACCAATGTCACGAATTGAAAAGGAATCTGTAAAATTCAGTTAGTTTTACCGTCACTATACTTGTAACGTTAAACCGCGTCGATTGGAGCGCCGCGTTCACGTAAACCTGGTACGCCGCGCTCCGCTGTTAGCTGTATTTTTGGGCTCGCCGTGCAGGTTTTCGTTTCCTACGTCTGAACGTCTAGGCGTCGTTTGGCTTTTAAAAGGATTAAAAACTTATCTATATCTTGATTACGTGATCTTATTTATAGTTTCTATATGTTATAACTATAGCTTTTCGGGAACGTAAGGCCAGAATAACATCTATCTTCCAACTACAATTGCCTGAGCAATTTTAAACCAAAAAAGCCCGCTTTTCTCTAGCTACCCTTCGTAAAGCGTGAAAATCCGTAAACCGAACCCCTCCCCGCCGCCCTACCCAAATCCCGAAAAAACCATTCGTCTACTTGAGGATCGAGCGCGGGGCGGCTTAGATTCCGAATCCAGACTCTAAAATCCGGGGTGCCCAATTTCGCCCCCGGCAGCCCATACCGTGGCCCGCCCCTCAAATAAACGGCACACAAACCCCCCCCACCAACCACAACTTCGCCCATCTCCCCCCCTCCAGGCAGAGAAAGGAAGCGCCGTCAAGAAACTGATTTGCATATGGCCCGAGGAAGACGAAAAGGGCACTGACTGCCAAGTTCTTTAGCTTTTTGGAGAATATGGGCAGAGATTAGGGAAAGTAGAAATAGAACGTTCTTTGAAAGTGCTTTTTAGAAAACGCGCCATTCGATTTTAGCATTTTTGGTACTGGACTGTTATCGGGAGGGGGCTTAACCTAGAGATTTTCTAGCTCTAGCCTACCGAGCAGAATTTTTTTTGGTGTGTTCTACTGTATTTTTTATCGTCTTTACAGTTTTTTTGGCCAAATATCAAATTTTATGAATTTAATAATTTTATGAGCATTTTTACTTTTAAGTTTCAAAAAACGACGTAGAAAGCTGCATCAATGGCTTGACTAGAAATTCGAAAACCCCGACAGCAGTAAACTACCTGCAAGTCAATTATGGTGGAAAGAAATTGGCTACCGTAGCCTCTAAAATTCCTAAAATCCCCCCCCCGATAAACAAGCAGCGCCTAGACACGGATTTGATTGAATATATAGTTGGCTTAGCCAACTTGGCTACCGTATCCCTCTAAAATCACCCCTCTCCCGATAAACGAGAAGTACCTAGAAAAGGACTTTGAAAGAAATTCATACGTGTAGTGTACAGTATCGTGCCATTTGGATTTACAGGTTTCAAGATGTGTAAATTAAAAAAATGGTATGGAAAGGTAAAGAAATATAAAAAACTAAAAATAGCAAAATTACCATAACTAAAATGTAGCTGCGATAAAAGCCCAAAACAACACGAGAAAAACAAGGGGAGGGCCAACCTCGAGTCGGCCGGCTGGTATCGGTATTCGGTGGAGCCGAGGCAGGGCAAGGAAGGCGGGGAGGAGGGCCGTCAGCCCGACCGCTAACGAGCTCCAAAAAGCCCGTCGAAGGGAATGGAAGAAGAAGACGAAGAAGGGGAGGACGAGGAGGAGGAGCACCACCAGGAGAAGCATGCTTTTGATTGGGGACCCGAAAAAAGTCGGGTTTATTGGGTTGTCGTTTCGGAATACTATACATGACAGGTTGAGCGCTGTCGGTAACCGTAATATTCTACGAAATCGAGGATTTTCTGCGTAATCCGGCTTTTTTGATTGGACCGTCGGAATCAGGGATTTTGACGTGATCGGGCATTTTTCAAAAAGTTTATTCATTCAACAGCCTAAAATCGTTGAGATCTGGGATTTTGGACTGTGCTATACATAGCGATTCTTATATTCCGCGATGCCGACAAATTACGTCGATTTCAAAAAATCCCGGATTTTGAATACCACCTACAAAAATCCTCAATTTCGTACAAAATCCGGGCTACCGGTATACAGCCGTACCTAGGCGTATACCGGTAGCCCGGATTTGATGGATGGTGCCCGGGGCCAATCTATAATACGAAGACGGGCATAAAATCAAAGATGGTTTGTCGCCTCCCCCCGCCCGGTGGCTTCAGATCGATGACGATGAGCGGCCAGGGGGGAGAACAACACACGCAAGGTGCTCGGGGCGGCCATATTTCGACCCACTTCAACATCTTCTGTCTTTCGAAAGATGGAAGATCTTTTATTTCTCTGGCATGTCGGTAGTACTCGACACGACCATGTGTCTATCCATTGAGAAATTCGCGGCTAGGATCTAGAAATGATGGAAAAGTTATGCCTATAACCCGCGCTTCTTTCTGAAGCTAGATAATTGCCGATTAGCGCGCGGAGCTGGCATGGCGCGTTAGGCTACCCAAGATCATAGCTCGTAAAAATGAACATAAAAGAACCAGATTCAAGAATTCCATTCAAGGTATTCAAGACAGTTGGATGTTAAAAAAAACAATGAACAAACTTTGGTGCCTCCCTTTTAGCGGGGGAATTCATGTTTACTTGTGTTTTAGCAGTTTTTGATCGCTCGGAAACTAGAAAAATTAAAAAAATGTGACGTTTCTAATCGAATTTATCTAATCTTTAATTCAAATCGACTCCTTTAAGGACAACAGGCAGCCCCTTCAAGATGGAAAGTATAGCTATGTAATAAAATTAGCCAATAAACCTATGAATTTCCAGATACTTCTTACGTTACCAGAAAAATAATTTGATTCTTGAGCGTCAATCCGAGGTGTGCCGACCAACAATCTGTGTATGGTGGCCAAAGACTAATTGAGGCGAATCCCTTGGCATAGCAGAGATTGATGTGGATAGAACGGCGAGATGGGCATCCACCCCCGTATTCGGCTTCATATCCGGGTCGGCGGGTAGGCAGAAGCGTGAAATGGGGGCCAACCCAGGCTGACAAATGGAGCCAAGCCCAAGGGATTGGCCCCTGGAGTGACTACTGTAAAGGTCTAAAAAAACAAAAAAAAAGGAAACCAGAAATAAATAAAAATTTAAACTAAAACGCAAAATTTTGGGTGCTGGTGCGGTAGCGAGGGGCGCAGTGCCCTAGTAATAAAACAACTACTTTATAGCTTTTTACGTTGGTTTCAAGGGACAAAGTTATGAAAAAAATGCATAAAACTTGCGAAAATGTTCAAAAATGGTCAAACATTCAAATTTTTAAAATTTTCTGGAACAATTTTCACGAAATTTGGTAATAAAAACACTAAATTACACATCTTATAAAATACACCAGAAACTCCAAGATCCTGTTGCCCCACGTGACCCGCCCCCCCCCCCCCCCCGCTAACAGTCCAGAACCGGAACCACTACAGTAAATGGTAAGGAAGCACTACACCAAATAAAAGCAAGAAAATCGAATTAGTAATAAAATTAGAACCCCAACGAATAGAACGCGGAAATTTATTCACTGGCAGCGAGCGCTTTGCATGATGCACGGGCCAACCAATAGAAGATGGGCTCCAACCCTTCCCAGGGCACAAAAGACCATTTTATGGGGTCCCCCTCCCCTCCTCTGCCCCATCCAATGCACCATCCGCAAAAAAGGGGCAGGCAACCTTGAAAATTGAGTATCAGCCGACCTTCAAGAAGCATCTGGCTTCCTGGGGGAATAATTCGTCGTAGATTCCATGTATCGGCCTATTTTGGTACTGGGCTGATAGCGGGGGGAAGCCATGTAGTATATACTTCCGAGCATTCTAGAGAGAACTTCCGTTTTTGATTGGTTTTAGTAGTTATTAGTAGGCATAAAATCCTTTTTAAAGGATTCTAAAAATTTAAATTTTTTGTACAGCATCCATGAAATTTTTCGAAATAAACGGTATCAAAAGCGATATAAATGACGCATATTTGATTATTGGGACCCTAACGCGGCGATAGGCCAAAGTTAGGGCCCCCGCTAATAGTAAAGTACCGCATTCCTCGCTTCTTCTGTTCCGATGAAGCTCGCTCGTACTAAAATCTATTTAAATGATTTCCAAGCCTAGCTTCTAAACTCCATATTTTTACCGTTTGCCGCAGAAGCTCTGGCATACAAACCCAATTCCGAAGCCACCCCACCGTCTCCAAGAAGTTGTGTATAGCTTTGGCGGCTCATTTTGGGGGGTGCTGTGGGGACAGGGTGGGGGAGCCCCAAATGGAATTAGCATCGCCCATCCCCGGGCTTCTGGAAGACAATGGGGGTCCCGCCGGGAATGTCAGCCCGAATTTTCGAGGAATATGTGGTTGTGCGATTGGGTTTTGTTGCGTTCGTGTTTCTGGGGGGTCTCGAGAACCGAAAATCGGAGCTGTCTTTTACAAAAAAGGTTCTTTCGAATTATCGACCAAAAATTCGACTACATATTTCTATTTTTTTTCACTGTTTTCGCGCTTGAAAACAAGTAATTTTACTGAAAACAGTGTTAAAATGACTTACTATTTCATTAGTAGGCAAATGAAAAACTCACCCTCCCCCGATAACGCGAAATAGTCACACAAAAAGACCATAAAGTCCCTACACTCTTTATCAACGTAGAAACGCCAACAAAATTTGCAATTAATAACAACACCGAGCGAACAGCGTTATAACAACGAATTCGCCGCAACGTCCACGATTTCGGCCTGCTCGATCCAAGCCCAAGTGAGCCGAGGATCGACCTGAAACTAGGAAATCGAGATATACGAAAGCTTCACCTTTTCCGCCCTGCTTCGTATCGACATCGCCAACTCGACAAGCATCTTCCGAAGCGCCTCCCGTTCACGTCGTTCCCTTTTGGAGTCTTCATTATCTTTCTGCTCATCCTCGTCGTCGCTATCCTTTTCTTGAAATCGTGTCCGAAGTCTCCGTCTTCTATTGTCTTCCGCGTACACGTAGTCCTTCCACTTTTTGCTAAAAATTGTTTGATTTAAGTTTTAATAATTAGATCCTTAAAAAACGGCTAAAAAAGCGCTGAAGACTCACAGCTCGGCCTTTGGCATCAACAGAATCTGCATATTCGTGCGCAGCGACCAGCTGGGACCCTCGTCAGAAGCGTAGATCGTACTAGAGAAATAATGATAAACGTATAAAAACTTATGCAAACCTGGGTTGCGCGGCTTCTTCTAGCGCCTTCACATGTCGATCCGAGACTTCAACGCCTGCTTTCATGGCCAAAGCGACGAGCAAGTCTGGAAACCATTCAAAAACACCAGCTCCAACCCAACCTTGTGGTATTGAGACTTTGCCATTAGGGTTTGCCGACAATCGAAAGCCATACTCGATCCATAATCGCACGTTGTCGTGTGGGCCATAACAGACAAAAATCTAAAAGAAATACTAAAAATCTAAAAGATAAAGAAAACCTGGTCTCCTTCATTGACCGTTCTCGTCGCACGCAGACAGTATTCATTCCGAATTTTGTCGTAGAAGGCAAAGCCCTAAAATTTTACTGGCCTGGAAAAACTGCACACCTGAGCAGTTGGCGTATGATTCAGCATATCTACAAAAGGGATCACCGCCAACGTGTCACCATCAGTAGAGTCGACCAGTGGATGTGACGGATTTTCCAGATAAATACACCTAAACGGACTTTCAAAAATATACAAAAGCAAAACCTTGTATTCACTACGTGCCAAGCCCACAAATATTTATCGTGCGTGATCGGCTTTGAGAGTTCTTCGGCGAAAAGTGTTAGCTAAACAAAGTTTCCCATTTCTTAAGGGCCAGGTCAACCTTTGCCCAAACAACGTCCAGCTCTTTCAGTTGAAGTTTATAAAATTCCCTCGCGGATTGCGGGATCTAAATTCCGTTTAGCTAAATGGCTTAGTTTTACTTCTGCCGGATCAAAACGAATTCCATCTGCGGCTGGGGTGTCGAATTTCTACAAAGGCACGAAGGTCTATTTCATAGAACTACAGTACCTTGGGTAAAATATCCAAATACGGTCCGTATTTTGAAGAGCTTGACTCTTCGAGGCAGAAGAACAACGTCAGAATCTCGAATGGCGCCATCTTTTGGCTAAAATCGGACTGCTCGAAGCTTATTTATGCGTTTCTCACCTAAAAGCGTCAAGCATCTTCTTGTATTTCGGCATATCGGCGATCGATCCGGCAGTCAGCAAAACGCTATGCGGCATTCGGATCATCAGGGATTCTGGTAGATGAACCTCGTTCGCAAAAACGCCATAGCCAGCTCCCTGAATTCGTGTGATGAGAACCAATGGTATTTACCGGTTCGGCTTCGTCTATCCTTACGCCGGGTGCTTGAATCTTCATAGCTGTAGCCCATTTCCGGAATCTTTCCATCTAACAAACTTCATTTAACTGCAAACGGCCAGCCTTTCAGGTATCGCATTAAAACTGCTGGTCGAATACTCCAGTCACGACGTAGAAATCTTTATAACAAAAGATGCAAGCAATGTAAAAATAGTATAAATAACAAGTACACCCGTGCGTCCATCACATATGCATTAGTTGTCAAGCCCTCAACATTAAATCGGCACCGCTAAAAGCAAAAAAAAGGGGGGGGGAAGGGAAGAACTATCTCTTTCGTGTCGCGGCCGCTATTTTACGTTGTGAAATGTCGGTCGTCACGTCAATCTCTTGGCTCTTTTTGTTGAGAAGATCCATCACCACCTGAATCCAAACAAACTATAAAACGGGCCTCAAAACTACCTTTCGCTGCATCTTGAAGCTACTAACAACTTGTCGAAGATCTTCAGCAAATGCAAGGATCTGCAAAAATTGCATTTTTGAACAAAATTCAACAAAATACCTCAACATCCTGACATTTCTCAATCTCGCGCTGTAGTACCGCCATCGCATTGTCCATTCGTTCTGCAGAGCGTTGTTGCGCATCCTGAGAAGATAGAACAAGTAAAAAAAGATGTAGAGATACTTACAGCCACACCGAAATCGTTCTCCATCATCTCACACGTCTGGTTGACCAAATGACAGACGGTATCCACCGCATCCGGCCACAAATCTCCGAGCTCTTTCTAAAAAGGGGGATTTACCTTGACAATTTACAAACATTTGTCTAGTATAATTGATTTAAAAATAAGGTTAAGGCTCTTGAGCATTCGCGGCGCCGATTTTTTCCAGTGAATCCAGGTTCCAAATTTTTTCGGCACATGCCGACATTTTTTTATGAATATTGGATGCGTTTCTAAATTGTTATTAACGAAAAATTTTAGGGAGAATAAAAATTTTAAAATTTTTTTTTTTTTTTTAAAAAAAATTTTATAATTTTTTTTTATTTTTTTTTTAATTTTTAAAAAATTTTTTTTTTTTTTTTTTTTTAAAATTTTTTTTTTTTTTTTTTTTTTTTTTTATTAAATTTTTTTTTTTTTTTAAAAATTTTTTTTTTTTTTAAAAATTAAAAAAAATTTAAAAAATTTTTAAATTTTTTTTTTTTTTTTTTTTTTTTTTTATTTTTTTAAAAAAAAAATTAAATTTTTATTTTTTTATTTTTACTTTAAAAAAAAAAAAAAAAAAATTATTTCTTCTTTCAAAATTTATTTTAATTCCTAAGCATAAAAACTATACAATTTTAATTTTAGGTCGAAAAATTCTTTTTTTTTCGACCCAAAATGACGAAATTTTCGACTTAACTTTTTTGAAAGCTTTTCTACTTTAAATATGGCTAAAACTTACTAAAAACATGTCAAAAAAACACTTTATATTTGATTAGTAGGCCAATCGGGACCGCTAGGAAAAAAATGGTTCCCCCTCCGCCCAGCGAATCCTTAAGAACCAAAATTTGTAGTTTTCATGCTCGAGAAGATAAAAGCAATCTACAAACGCATCCGCTTGTTATATAAAGAAACCTGCTATGTCCCGGAAAAGGCAGTTTTTATAATCAAAAGCCAATTTTAATTTTGCAGGATATTTTAATACCAAGATAGATACCTTGACATCTGTGAGTGAGTTGCACAGAACGATCGTAGATTCTCTTGGGTCAGTGTAGTGGCACTCCTTCTAAAGCAAACGGTTCATACCCCCCAGAGAACAAATACCTCGGATCCCTTCTCAGTCGCCGATCCGGGCTTCGCGACCGGGTAGAGGTTGCAAATTTCGCAGTACTTATTATTTGGAAGTCCTCCTATCCGAGATGTGCCCATTCCTAGAAATAAAAATAGAAAAAGGTGCGAATTAAAAGCTACCAGTCGCTTGGATTGGGTCCAGCGGCCGCCGATTGATATCCACGGAACCAGCGTAAAACACTTCTACCCAAACATTCTAAAAAAAATGCTAATTTACCACCATAAACCAAAAAAACCTTGTTGACAAAGTATTCCTGGCCGCCGTCGGGTAGATTCTTGCTTGGCGGGTAGTACTAAAAATGGAAATTAAAGCACAGCAAAAAACTCAAGCCTGAACTCGGATAAATGGGTTGGTAGCCGGATTCAAGCGGATTAGGCGCGTCGAGCAATAGCTGCAAAAACAGTTTTTTTTATAATAAAATTTCCCACATGTCAGTTGGAGAATCTCGAATGCAGACGACGATTGTAACGTAGTGCAGCGCAGTGTTGCAGTAAAAATCCGCGAAATACATCCTAAAACTTTCATTTTATTGCCGCTTATTTCTGCATTTGTCCTATTACTCGATTGAAAATAAACAATCCAGTCAAAATAAAGTACGTAGTCAGAATTACGACATTTAAAAAATCCACCCAACACTTTTCCGAATCACTTACGTGTGTTTCGAGTCGTCCAACAAAAACGGGGCTTCTATCCGAAACCGGCGGTCACCAAACGGACTCGTGCCCGACATAACACCATTAAACAACCTTGCCGAGAAGAATAGACCTAAAAATGACTTTTCCAAAAAGCCGCGCTGAAAATACCAGAAATGGCGCCGTTGATAGCATTGGCCGGTTGCCCGTTGTTGTCTTTAGCATACGGCTCCATGATGCCGTGACAATTCGTGTAGATATCTTGCCAATAACGCTCCGGTTTACATCTAGTTTGTCAAATTAGAAAAAAAAACACACCTCCCTACCTGTACAACCAGCGAAAGCTGTGCGTTTCATTCCCATTCACTTCCACAGCTCGATGATGTAACTTCTTCAGCTCGGCCAGCGAGAAAACTGAAAGGCTTAATCGTACTTGGAAAACTTACCTGCTTTTACTTCTTTTTGAGATTGGGCTAGTAAACGGCCTTCTTGTGAGCGGCAACTTAACGTCACCTGAAAAACAATACTCAATCGAGGCAAAGGAGGTCAACCTTATATACAGCACCGGGAGTGGTTCTTATTGAATGACGTGTCTTGTGCCAAGGCATCTCGAAATTGAACAGATCCTTATCACCGTCGACATTCAGCCAATAGGTGTATCGAACTCCGACTAAAACCATTTTTACGTAAAATACATTTTTGATTTGCTCAACCTGCAACATCGGGCGGGGTCCAGCTTATGTCAATATTCCGTGCGCTAATCTCAAACTTCCAGTCGAGCGTCTGATGGGTCGTTCCGAAGTCGACAAAATTCGAGTAGGATCGCCAGCTAAATAAAAGTTTCGGGATGCAATTATTCGTTGAAAATTTTATGACTTTCCACTTTTTAAAAACCAGACCACCCACCTTGCTTGAACGTCGCGGTCAACTTTTGAAGGCAAGGTATTCAAAGAACTTGGTGTGGTATCCTGAGCCTTGAAGAATGGCGCAAACTGCTCGTAGGCGCGAAACTCGGAATACCGATCGACAGTTGGTGGCCTGAATAATATGATACTACAATTCAAGAGCTGCTCACCTATGCCAAGGAGGTGGCAAAATGCCACGAGCATGTGGAGGCGGCGGTGGCGGTCTAGCGCGGCCCCTGAGCCGATATTAGCAATTTTATAGTTGCGCACCTGCTTGGTCCCCAGAACGGCGCCCTTGCAGCCATCGGGCCACGCACTGCTTGGCCCCTTCCTCGTCTCCATGTATGATTGGGCCGCATTGGGCCGGCCTGGTTGTCTTGTAGACCATAGTTGCCGAAGTAGGCCATTGGCTGTGCAGTGAAGTTCATTGGGGGTCGATTTGGGGGCAGGCCCCTCCAGCCGCCGAACGACATCCCTAAAATGATTATTTATTGTAACGATCGAAAGTTCTAAGTTTAAGGTAATGAGCGTATTGGAAAGTGATCGGAAAAATTACGTTTTTTTTAGCATCGAATTGTTGTAAAGGGGACTAGCGAAAGGATTTAGTGAAATTAGATTTTATCGACAAAAAAAACACTTTCTTCTTTATTTTATTTCGTTTTTTTTCCTTCCCCAAAACAAACCGAGTTAGAAAACAAAACCAAAACGATTGAAAGAAAAAATTGGGTGCTCCGAATTTCCTCGCGTAAGCTTATGAAGCTACGCACCACAATCTGGGCGTTCTGGCCCAATGCCAGCGCCGAAGCTTTTTTGAACTTCTAACGCGGCGTAACCGTTTCCGGTGTTTAGTTTTTATAATGAAGTTAGTGAAGTTAATTTTAGGCAAATTAAGAATGTTGAACACAGCAGCCTCTCATAAAGCGCTCCGGGAGCCACCTCGCGCGCTTTCTGGAAAGGAGCGGGTAGTAAATTTGAATTTCGAGGGGTTAAAAAGAGCATTTTTAGCGCTGGATTTCTCTTTATAGCGTTCCGCAAGAACCTTTGCAATTGACGACTTTATGTGAATCTACACCTTTAGTTGCGATCTTCCCTCTTCCCAGAATTCTTATGACCCATGACCTGACCCTTCAACATTTCAGGGCATGTCTGACCCTCTGGCACGATGCGATCAGCTGAGAACAGAAGCCGAAATACGATTGCGAGACGGGTTCATCGATGAAAGCATAGAACTTGTGCTTCAGGCCCTCGCCGTCGCCCATAATGATAGCAATCTGCTCGCCGATCTTTATTTTTTGGTGGGTTTTCCTTCGATATATCTTGGGACGCTACCATCGTTCTCTTACCCACATTTTTAGTGTGCGATCGCTTACGCGGAAAAGGCCAAAAATGAGCGAGAACGAGCCGCCAGGGTTGATGCAAGACATAAGGCTATTGGGATGCTGAGGAAGCTTCGCGATTTGTATGCGCTTCAAGGGAATCAGCATGCCGAAGCGTCGGTTTATTTCGAGATCGCGGGGATGGCACAGGCGATCGATGTCGGTTCCGATGAGGCTGTGGTCAATTATGAACATACCATCCGGTTGGCCGCCGTCATCCAAGACAAGGTCTTTGGTTTCAAAATGTTGTTAATTTTACGTTTAGAAGCTTGAATGTGACGCACTAAGTTGTTTGGGAAATCTCCTCAAAAAGAAGGGAAAGGCCTCGAAGGACCAATATGACGTTTTAATGGTAATGAACGAATTTATCGCTTAATGCTGTTTAAGAATCCAACCGATGGCGCTATTGGTCCACAAGCGACGTCGCTCTTTGAAGCGGCCATCCAAAAATTGGAAATGGCACTTGTGATCGCCCGGGAAAGCGAATTCGGACAAGATTTGGACGGGATAGGATCGCTTATCGGCGATCTGGCCGAATGCCAATTTTTGCTATCCAACTTTGATGGCTCGAAGAAGCTGTACGAAGAGGTGAACAGTTTTTTTTTTCGTTTTTCGACGTTCGTTTAGCGCCTTGCGATAGCCGATAGCCTAAGGGACAAGCCTGCACAGCGACGCACTAATGGATCACTCGGAAACATCTATCTGGCCACCGGACAGCCGAAAGAAGCGATAAAGTGCGTTATTTATATTCTTCTGAATGGCCGGCTTTTCTCAAAATATTTTCTAAAATTTAGATGCTACCGTCAAGCGTTGTCCATAGCTACCGAGCTGGATGATCACCGAGCGATGGCCCTACACTACATGTCGATGAGCGACGCCTTTATAGAAGACAATGAATATGACGATGGTATATTTTAGCATGAAACGGAAATTCGTTATTTAGCTCGCTTCTACCTCAACAAGTGCAAGGACCAATTCAAGATGGAGGCGACGTGGCCGGCCAACAAAAAGCTTATCGAAAGCTGGCCGAATTGCAGGCGACCGCCTGTTCATATCCCAGCGCAGCCTATTTTTACGCAGTCAACCGGAGATTGGCGAAAAAGGTAATTGAATTGAGGCGTTTTCTATGATTTCCTCTAGGTTGGCGATGACACCGCTCGGAGCGAGGCCCACGAGAAGCTCTATGAAATGAAACAGACCGGCCAGGTCGCGATTTCTGACGGGAAGCTGGTACTGGACTCTTCTTTTGACAAGGATCCCATCGAAGTCATCCTTTCCGAATCTCTACGCTCGGTTTATTTACACGGTAGCGAGCCATCGCTCTATAGCGCTTGGTACGTTTTTACTTTTTAGCGACTTATGAAAAAAATAATATTCTAATTGATGGTTCGAAATTCAATGTTTCTTTTTAGTGGGGCCTCTGATACGACACGTCTTGACACACCGTCAGCGCTCAGTAACGATCAGAGTGTGAGTAATGCGGTAAGTTGTAGTTTCTTTATCTAAACATTTTTTGCTTAGAATAAACCACGACTCATCCAACGGGGCAACGATGACGATTTTTTCGCAATGCTCGAGAAGATGGGCAATCGTCTGGACGACCAACGGGCGGAGATGCCGCTGCCGGTCACCGGACGCGCATCGACCATCTCAGCCGTTTCGATCTCTTCCGATCGCTCGCCATCCACATCAAAGTCTCGCTTCTCACTGCTGAAGCGTGTGAAGAGCTCAATGATCACACCCAAATTCACTTCGACGCCTCTGAAGAAGAAATCGTGGGTTTTGCTTTTCGTTCTAATTCTGTTGATTTTCAGAAAGATTCCCTTCATGCGAAGCACCAAATCGCTGAAGAGCCTTACGAAATTTGGCGGAAAGTCGTCGAAATCAGCGGCCCATTTGGAATTCCCGAAGCTTGACCTTTCGATGGCATCTACCAACGATGGTGGTAGGGAAATAAGGACGGCTGAGACATTTTCTTTTAGACTGTCTTTTCCGAGTTCCCGAATTGCCAATTCGCGCCGAGAGCAGCAGAATGGACTCTCGCAGCATGTCAGAGGTATCCGTCGGTAAAATGGACGACAATGTCGCGGTGTCCGAGGACATGACGGTTTCGTTTAATGGGTATGTATCTGCAGGATCAGCCTTATTTCCTTTCTTAGTATCGACGGCTCAAATCTCTGGCCCGCAATCGATGAGGACGTGGCAGAGGCCGAAGAAGAGAAACCGCAACAGAACAAGAAGACTCCACTGCCGCCTCCAAGGAAGAGTAGATGTAAGTAAATTCTTGTAAATGAATACATTTCTCTATTCAGTGCCGCCGCCCCCGGCTCTTCTCGCCGAGGCCATCGAGAACAAAGAAAACAGCACAACAACTGGCCCTTCAGAGAGCAAGTCGGTCTTGGGCCGGCTCAGCTTCGCCAGCTTGCCCTTTATGAAAAAGAAGCCGAAGCTGTCCTCCCGACCGTCACAATCGGTGAGCAGGCCATCGATTCTCAAAAATTTTTCTTTAGAGCTTGGCAGGACCCAGCACGAACCAATAATCGGAGAACAATTTGCCGCCAGCCTTTCCATTCCTTACTCGCACTTTCATCTCACTTCTACAGGACCTCATTTTATGCCCCGCTCATTTGCCTTGCCTTAACAAATATGTTTTCGTTGGATTATTTCGCTGTGCTTTTCTGAAGAATAAATTAGCTTGAATCACCGTTGAGCATGAATTGACAGGATGACACGCCATCTCATTATTTCAACATGGAATCGACACAGCCGCTTTCTTAATCATTGGAAGGATGAGTGGAATCAGTAGAAAAAATCAATAAAGAAAAGAAATATTTAGTGAATTTTCAGCTAAAGTGGAAAACTCTTGTTTGATCGAACATGGGGAGCGGGTTTTGGATCACTTTCGGGCTCATCGCACGGTTCGGCCTTTGCTTATGGCCTCAACTTTCTGTAGGATGATAACACGACTGACGTAGAGGTGGCATGTGATGGGAAAGCGTTGGCCCGTGCACATCGTATCCTTCTTGCGGCCTTTAGCCCACATTTCGAGGCGGCCCTCCATGGGGTGCATCAATCCGAGAGAGCATATCACTAAATACTGATTCGGACGTTACAGGCGGGAAAGGCCATGGGAACCTAGGAGAATCAAAGGCTGGATGCAGATACGTCGAATGTTTTCAGGTGTTCAACCTTCAGCGCTTCAGAGTCTACTCGACTTTATGTATTCAGGGCATGTTGTCTTGAATGAAGAAACCGTCAAAGCTGCCAATGGTTACAAATAGAACCGCTAGCGGCATTAGGAATCACAAATAGGTAGGCAAAAATATGAGGATGATTTAGTTTCTAGGAAATGCTTATATCAACCCGAATCACAATGTACAGCTGATGACGGGCTATTCAGCGATTTAGAAAACAATCAAAATTCACGGATTGTCTGTTGAAGTTCAAAGTGGGTGCAAGTAGAGCAGTAGAAAACAAAAATCATAAAAGGACGGGATCACGCTGTCCTGCCACAAAAGCATCATGGCAGCATTCAGCCGGCCGCTAGCTGAATTGTTCGAACGGGGCGATGGAAGGAAAGATTTGACATTATCGACGGGGATTGGTTCCAGGTATTTTGCACTATCATCCTATATTCTATTCATTGGCAGGACGGACCTTCGAGTGATCGTCGATTTCCTGTACACTGGTCGTCTGGGGGTTCCGAGTCGAAGCCTGCGTACACTTCGTGTTGCCGCTGCTTCTTTGGACATACCGCAGCTATTAGCCAAAATAGATGAGCGGCTCGGGGTTGAAGCTAGCCCGCCGTTTCTGGTTTTGGAGCCAGCTCCAGGCCCAAGCCACATGGTTGATAATGTCGTACTACAAGAACAGGTTTTTAGAGTTTCTTTTAGTAGAATTCTTTTTGGGGTCCACGGCGTGCCGAGGTTAGCCGAAATAAATTTCGAAAAGGTAGGTGTCGACGAATCAGAATTCATAGAAAAAAATTAGGTGGCAGTCCGGATTCTGAAGAATACGAGCCACGACCATCGACAAGCCGTGTAGAGCCTGATTCCCTAGATGACTATGTAGGGTTTAGGTTTTTAAAGCCTATCGTCCTTTTAGCATTTGCTGTACGACGAATTCGTGCTGGGCCCAAGGCGGATACGGCCTCTGCCGGGTGGTAGGCGGCTTGGTCCAAGCTTCACCATCAAGGGCCCGGCATGTATCATTGAGAAAGGAGGTGGGTAGTGGCAAATGCTGCAGTAATGATCATTTATCAGGCTCGAAAAATCATGAGATTTTCAGCTCCGATCGCTGCACTTCAAGTCAGCAGCCCGGCGCCATCGACTTTTGGGCGTCGAAAGAGGGATGTGGATTCGGATGGGTAGGTCAAGATACAAAAAAGGACGAAAGAATATTGTAGGCAAATTCCCGAAATTTGCACGAGCAGCCAGCTGATTGTGCCTCTGGTGGTGGGTGAGCAACAGGTTTGTCCCGAGCTTTGAAAATTACCTCTTTTCTAGCTACTAATGGAAAAGCCGTATAAATGCAACTATTGTGAGCACAGGACGCGCGAACGTGGAGCCCTAGTGAAGCATATAAGGTATCGCAAGTCTGAGTTTTACGAATCGTTGTTTTTAGATGCATGCACACCCTCGAGACCCCATATAAATGCAAGTATTGCGGCCAGGGCTTCAAAGTTCAGAGCAATTTGGTACGCCATATCCGGGCGCATACAGGTAGGGCCATCGTCGTCTACTTAATTTTTTCTAGGCGAAAAACCGTACGCTTGCCGGAAGTGCGGCACTTGCTATGCAGATAAAAAGAACATGGACGCGCACGTGTTCCGTGAACATTTGGGCATGAAGCAGTTACAGTGCCCGGTTCAAGGCAATACGTGGCCCCTCAGATTATCAAAAAAAATTTCCTAGAGTGCCAAGCGAAATTTTGGCGTCAGGATCGGCTTCAATTACACGTGGCCCGTACGCATAATCGGCAAATTGATCGAATCGGGGCAAAGCAGGATGATAATAATAAATAGTTGTAATATACCTATGTTGGGAATTTGCCAGTCTTTTGCTGATGATTATTGAAAAATGATCCTTAAGAAAGATACTATTTTGATTGAATTTAAGGGTAATGGAAATCGAGACGTACATCCGGGACAATGTGCCGTGGGCTCGACTGCCGGAGAATGTTCAGGTCAGAATTTAGACTGG